TATTTGCAAGCAGCAGACTGATGCTCTCTAAGGCTTAGTTTGACAACGCTGTCTAGTACTGTTTTATAATTGTAATTGTTAAAAGTGTTGTGTTTTACTACCACCAAAATCATTTTTCATATTTGGTAATTATATTTCAAAAGAACTACCTATTATAAAATTACTCAATACAACACATTATTATTTAAAATTAAATTAATTAATAATTGAATATATAATGTATCAAAAAAGATTTGAGAATTTTATTAATTATTTAGGAATTACATTAATTTTGGATAAAATGACTTTTGTATTTCTTTTCAAAAATGTAGGGATAGATAATTTACTAAATGCATAAGTTACAAAAAGTTCTATAAATATATGCGAAAAGTATTGTACGTAGCATTATGAAATGAAGCCTAAAGCACCAAGCAATGATGCTAGATTGATCCTACGATTGTACATAATTGACAAAGGTTAAGAATGCTATTCAAAAAAATTAAGAGATCTAAAACATACTAAGTGCTGATTATTTAAAAAGGAAAAAAGAAAAAGGAAACTAAAGATAGTAGAGTTAGCTTCAGATGAACAGATCTTGTTCCATTAAATGATCATACCTTCTGTTTCACTAGCAAAAGGAAAATTTCCATTATTTCTCAATGCAACTGGTACCCTAATGCATTACATCAAAACTGGCAAAAATAAAATTATACTGATAGTTAATAAACTATTCTTTGAATTAAGCCCTTGAAAATTGAAGGAAACTTTGGAACAATCTTTTTTTTTTTTCTTTCGGAACTAGTTCAAATTTTAAGAGATGGAGAATTTTAACTAGCATCATGCCGGTGGAAATGCATCTTCAAAGCTGACGATTAGCTAGTTGGCCACAAGGCCAGGTGTGGAAACTTTGGAACAATTTAGACAAAAACAGGATTTCGTTTAATAAATCTATAGACAATTTGGGACAACTGTTTTCTTTATTAACCATAAGAAATGTTATGATTTGTCAGTGCCATCTACCCTTAAGGCTCGTTTATCTGATCTTTTTCCATGCAATGTGATCAAATATTACCATTCCAAGGATATGATGAACAATGTGCTTGATCTTACATAGAATTTTCAATTTTAAGAGAGTTCTAGCAATAAAGGAAAGTCCAAATTAAAGGGCATTTTTTTTTTATTGCATCTCCATCTTAAAAATATAAGGGGAAAATAATTCTCTTCAATAATCAGCTTCCTTCAACCTCTCTCAAGAAAGAAAAGGACCTTGAACAAATGTTAATATTCTAATGAAAAGAGAAAATTGTCACCAGAAGCTATGTGTGAAGAGAATAGGTTTTATGCGTCTCTTACAGTACCTCAAAAATGGGTGCATAGACTCCTGAATTCATATAGGTTTCTGGAACTTTCCATGTACCCACACCCTTCGCATGCTCTTCCCATTTCGGCGATTCACTGACTTGACACAACAATATTCAACTTCAACCTGCGGGGTAGTTGTCATTCAACAGTAAACATAGTATAGCAATCAAATGAAAATATGAATTTCAATATTGTTCTGATCTTACAATTATACAACAGAGAAGAGTACCTCGATGAAGCCAGCACCAACAAAAAGACTCCTGACAGTATCCAGACAGAAGAAATAAGAATAGGTGCCATCTGAACGCATGTACTCCCTGAACCCTACTCTTTGATCTGGCTCAAACCGGAGCATAGTCATGTCATAGAGGCCTGGAACATCAGCAAGCTTTATATATGAATTCTGAAACAGTCCCTTCAATCTGTTCTTTCATTTGGGAAGGAGAAATTTGATTTTGATTGGAAAGAGAGAACTACAGATCAAATCCTAAATTTGAATGTCCAAATTTCACTATAACACTAAAAAAGGTATTTATTAATGCCATACCATAATCTCTAAATAAGAGCATTCCACCAGGCTTCAATACAGAAAAGCACTCTTTAATGGCTCCAGGCATCCTTTCAAGTGGTACTGCAGATAGTGTAAATATCTGATTCAATATAGAACAAAAGAAGCAATTCGAAGTCAGAATTTTTTTATATCTATTATTCAAGTAAGATAATGAAGCTGAAATTAGTTGCTCAATGAATCAATTGATACTTGACAGTGTGAAAGAAAAAGGCATACCAAGGTAACAAAGTCCACCCCCCCAAGGCAACATGTGCTTTCTTCCATAGAACATAAATCATTTACATGGGTTCCACCATGTTCTTTCACATCTACAGAAGAAAACAAAGATTTCAAACCCTGCAAAGTATGCATGATTAACCCAAACTAAACTAAGTGACAGGAGAGAGATTGGGAAGTTTACCAACCTGAAAAAGAAGTCTGCCTGTTCTGTGCAAATTTTTCTCTGCAAGAGCCGCATGACAGCCATTTTGGAAACCCAAATGTAGCAAAATCACAATAGAAAGGATGGAAACGATGTTCCAGTGAGACTATGTTACTCGCAGCTACAAATTCTTTGGCCCTTTCTAAAGTCTCATTGCTACAGTCGCAAGCATATAGTATAATTGTCTTATTGCCCCTAAAAAGTAATATCTTTACGTAAGAATAGTAGACAAGAAGCTAAGCTGGTACATGAATCAAGTGTTTATTACAATATGTAAGCACCGTGAAAACTTTACAAGTCATTTCCAATATTTTCGTTAGCAAAGAGTAGCCTTGAAAACTTCTCAACTCAAGGGTCTCACTGCCATTGCTACAGCCACAAGCATATAGAATAATTTTATTATTGACACTACAAATATAATCCATATGTAAGAGCAGTACACAAGAAGCTAGGCTACTACATCATGATCATGTGTTTATTACAAGATGTGAGAAAATGACTTGAGTAAAGTTCAAATAAATAGTGTAATCACAAAAACCAAAAAAGCCAGTTAATTAAAGAACATAGGGGAAAGATGTTCCAATCATTTGACAAAATCATTTAAAGCCAAACCAACCCAACCCAAATCATCACTAACAAATCAAATTCTTAACTTGTAAACAAAAATTGTTTGATAAATAGAAGGAATGCGAGAATGTAATGGGAAAGGAAATTTACAAAATTTGGATCAAATTAGAGAGTTTCACCAGTAATAAATTTTCCTTTGAAAATTTTCAACAATCTCCATGAGAGAGAAAATAATTAATTATCATAACATAAAATTTGATGTTACCGCAATATAGGAAGCGCAGTGCTGCCATTTCCACACCCAACTTCCAAAACCCTACAAAATTCTCCACAAGAAACCAGTTCTGGGAATTCCTTCAACAGATACCTTCTCTCCTGCATCAAAAAAGTACCCACTTCAGATTACACATAAAAAAATTCAAAAAAAAAAAAAAAAACCCAGAAAAGAAAAGAAAGCAATGAATGGGATTTTGAGAAAAAAAAAAACCTTGAAGAACTTGCCGGAGGAATGTTGGATGTGGAAGCGTTGCCATGCTCTTATCGATTCCGGTTGCCTTGTTGCTGTTGTTGCTGTTGTTGTTTCTTGTTGTGGGAAATGGAAAGGGAGAAGATGGTAGCGAAGAGAAGGATCGTCTTCTATTTCTTGTTTCAGAGTTGCCCATTCGAAGTCCTTTGAATGGTATTCTTCTGCTTCTGCTTCTTTCACTCCATTCATTTTTCTGCCTTCACTCAACCTAAATGGGAGACCTGACCATTATTTTCTCTTCTACCTTTTACAACCATTTTGCAGACCCAGACAGAATTTCCTATAAATGCAGAAAATGGTACAGAATAAAAATATCAAATTTAAATATTGTTGTCAAATTAAGGGCCTCCTAGAACTTAACTAATTTAATTGGTTAAAAATTCGATTTCTCCTAATAATTTAAAAAAAATTTCTTATCCCCCATGATTCCTAATGTTAAAAAATAAAAAAAATAAAAGGAATAAGGATAGTGATATAAAAATATTTTTTCATATTATTTTTATATAATTTTTATATATTATTAAATAAATATATATATTTAATATTATAAATTTCAAATGAATAAAAAAATTAATTATTTAAATAACATATAACATTATACAAAAAAAAATACAAAAAACTATTTCTAAATCATTTATGAAGAAATAATATGAATTAAAGGTACAAAGGAGACATAATTTGCTTGGATGTAATGAAAAAGGTTAGTTACCTAACTTTCTTAAAATTTACTTAAAAAATATTTTAAAAATTAATTTTTGAATTTTTTAATAAAATTTTAAATTTATGAAAAAAATTTAATTTTTTAAACAAACCTAATTACTTAAAATTTAACTTTTAAAAGAGTTAATTATTTTTAATAATGTCATTTCAAGTTAATTTAACTCAATTTTAACTCAACTCAATCAAATGCACATAATTATCACCGAAATTATATTAAATCTTGAATTAATACCTTACACCTATTATCGTATTCTATACATATATCCATTTTGTGTCCTTGGAGGACAATGAGAGAAGGAAGAGAGGAAAGAGGCGAGGAAGAGTGAAGATAACAGAGAGAGGGACCAAATAACCTATTGGTCCGAGTGAAAAAAACTCGTAGAATTTAACGCAACTTGATTTTGAATTAATTAAAATATAATGTAATTATCAGATATTA